TTTTTTTCGTGGAGGAAACATCTGAAAATGCTAATGAACGTCGTCACCTAGAGCAAGGGGAGACCAGGGTAAGCCGGGAAGCTTTTCCCATTTCTCTTTGCGGCTCGGGTATGTTCCAGTTCGGGTTACTGAGTCATAATAAATCTAACAACGCACGTTATTGGCCGCTGTTATCACTGAAAAAAGGGCGCGCGTCCATCATTTCGCATTGCAAGTATCTCTCCATGGTAACCAAGCTTTGTTTTTCATGGCTACAATCAACGCCATAACATCTTCTGGGACGATTCCTGGTGGGACAGCGGTCTTCTGATATTCATGTATGCGTTCCTGCAGGCGTCGCACAATATCAGGATACTTATGGCTTATGTCGCGCCGTTCAGTTGGATCAGCGGTGACGTTGAAGAGAGCTAGTTCTACGATGTTTGTCTTTTGATCCTAAGAGAGAATGAGTCAGATATTTGTAGACGCTGTTATAAAGAAATTGTGTTTAAAAATAGTTTCAAACAATGTTTCTAAGTTACAAGTCAAGAAACTCAAAATTCCCCGGCAATACTGATAGCCAAACGGTCTGAAGCAGGGCTGAGCCGAAAGTACAGGAATCCCTTCTGCCCTATGGTCGTGATAATATAAAACGAACTTGTTTTTCTTCAGTTTTGGTGTGATTTTAAAGCGATATTTGGAGCGATTTGTACCATCACGCAAGCCATTGAAGAAACGCTGAGGAAACGATCGCAGGATCGCATCAGGTGTATTTAAGATGAAACAAGATGCGTTACTTTGTTGTGGTTTTGTCAAAGGACAGATTATATTATACAGTGCACAGGTCTGAACCAACTACGTTATTCACTATGTAGTTTTCTGCTCCTCCCCCCTGAAAAACAAGCCATCCAGATAAAGCAAATCGCTCCAAAATATCATTCAAAATTGTGCTACAACTCTGAAAAATCCAGGAAGAAACAGGTCTGTTACTAACCCAAATCTCGTCCATGTCTGGAGGAACCCCGTCTTCCTCAGGAACCTGGTACCAAGTCGCGTTGGGAACGTTCATTAACAGCTTCATGTCACCAACACGAATTGCCGCCCCAGAGTACCATGTGTCATACGTTAGTAGAAGGCCAGGCCTTTTTTCAGGGAAATCGATATTAAGAAGAATCTCTGTTCTGGGTGAAGGGGCTCCATTGGAAATGGTGTCCCATACATCAAAGCCGTCAACTGGAATGGGATGTGAGTCTGTTGTACCACCTACGAAAACGACTTGACATGAACGTACCTGCAAAAATAAACTCAACCATACTTCGTGAAAAATATCCAGAGATCAAACCAGTTATGTTCATTTTTCCATTGTTAATATTCCACACGCTGATTCAAGGTCCAATTGTTTTAAAATGATATCGGCATTCCGGATGCTTAAACAACAGTTATTCAGAAATGCAATTGTGATGTATTAGTTAAAACGTCGTCTAGGAAAATCAGTTTAAAGTACTTACAAATACCTGCCAAGTTGAGAAGAGTTGGGTACCAGTCAGTCACGTGAATTAAATCATGTGATATCACTCCTTTTCGTTTGAGCATCTGACCATGAACAAAACCATTCGCCCTCACCCCACCCTCCCATAGTGTTCTCTTGTATCCACGCAGGGGGTAGTTGAAGCCTCGGTAGAAAGGATCTCCACCATTGTCCGAGCTAAATATCACAAGGGTATCATTCCATAGCCTCGAAAATAAACAGAGGAGTAAAAATTATCAAATACCTAAATAAGTGGATGCCATTTTTTTTCGATTGCATGAAAAAATATAAACCGTTTTGGTGGACCAAAGATCGTGAAAGAGACGGAGACAAAAATTGCGCGTCGCACTGTTCTTCCAAAATGCATTGTCTTATAACTTTCAAAACAAGCTTAGGCCTTAGGCCGAGTTTCCCACTAAATCAAAGCGCGTGACTAAAAGATTGAGATATTAACTTCTCAAAAATGTAATAAACAAAGAAAATCACAACCGTGAAGGAGGTTTGGATACCTGGTCTTGATTCGCATAGATTTTAACGATTTTACTTCTCCGTTTACCCCTTAGTTTGAAATTTTGTTTCGATTAAGAAGATATATCAAACACTCGAGACAGTGTTTCATCGGCTATCCAAACACCTCTTCTCGGTGTTTGGATATGCCGATAAAACTCTGTCTCTCGTGTTTGATATTACTTAGATTCGAAATCGTAAAGCCCTCTGCTACTCTTCCACTTTTTTCTAATTGTAGCGCACAGTACGCGCAATCCTATCATTACCCTTTCTCTTTAAACGCAGTAGTTATGTTTCCAATAGCTTCGTCTACCAAGTGCATCATTGCGGCATAGCCTCTCCGATCTTCGTCTTTTATGAAGCGGTATTTGTTTAAGTATTCTTGCGGTGCTTGTATTGGGTCGTGAACATTCTCAAACGCCATGTACAAAAACAGTGGCCTGGTGGAGTTATGTTCTAAAACAATTTTCTGAGCTTCCTAAACAGAACGAGAAAATTAGAGTTAACGAAACCAAAGCACCTGATGCGCTAATTTTCTTTCCCTGATCAACTCAGTCTGGCAACATATAAAGGAAAAACAAAAGAACTGCAAACAAAACAGCAACCACTACACCGACCACCTTCACAAGTTCTTTTATCTAAATCACCTTTGCATAAAGATAGGTTGAGTATTGTCCACTGTACCCTCTTGCCACCTCATCTCCTCTGAACAGGTCTAAGAAGCCAGAGTGGGTGTGGTCATAGTGATCATGTCCATAGTTGTAGAATCCAAAGAAGGAGTCAAAGCCCCTGTGTGTTGGGCAACTAGCAGATGTGTAGTGTCCTAAGTGCCACTTTCCAACAAGATGAGTTCTGTAGCCTAATGGCACAGGATTGATTGAGATAAAGTAATTATGGCAAGGAACACCATCAGAATAAGTTATAATCACCCCCTCCCCTCCTGCCCTCTCCCCCAAACCTTCATAAATAATTTCAGCAACAAATCTAACAAGAATTTCATGTGAACCCCAGGGAAGAGGAATACATATTTTTAAAAGTAATATGACAAACAAGAAAGACCTTGTTTGACCACATTTTTCTGGGAGTACCACCCCCCCCCAACCCCCTGGGTGACGCCATTTCCAAAGACTTGAAAATATGTCTTCTCGATTGAAACTAAAAATAAGGAGCTAACTTCAAGATAACCAAGAAATAGAATCTTAAAAATATATGCCAGTGAAGATCAGATATAAGTTAGATATCCAAACAACATAATGCATCAAATAGCGATGGTCAAAATATTTCTGTTTTACTTACCAACTTCTTTTAGCTTCTCTGGTAAAATGGAAAAGTCTAGAGGCAGGCCAAAGGGAGTTAAACAAAGAATCGCCCTGTGTTGAAGACCTGTTTAAGGAACAGAAAATTATGTTCCAAAATTGAGAGTCACATCATTGCCCACCCTACCCCACCCCCCTGCTACTGAGGTGTAAACCCAGGGGGACTTGCATATGAAAAGGTTGGGGCTATTGATATTTCGTTGAGTGCACCCTCAAAGATACCCTGACAGCTAAAAATAATGGCGTTTCGTCATGAGCACCATAAGTGAGACCATACTCCTTTAATTAAACCCCTAAGCGAGATGATGAACATCCCAACCTTTTCATATGGGAATCTCCCCTCCCCTGTGGGTACAAACAAAATTAAAAGACACTGAAAATATGTATAAAATGATGGGATTAACCATGGCTATTTTTGAACTAATGTTAGTATGATAAAGTAATAGTGAGATAGTCTAAATGAACAGACAGAACATAATAACCTGTAAATAGTAGGGGTACCTCCACACTGTTTTCGATTCGGAAGGAAGGGGGACACACCATAAGTCCCATCCAAGGCACAAAACTGCAAACTGAACTATGTAGAGCTCTAGAATTTGGTTGCAAACCGAGTGGCTCGAATTACCTGAGGTCCTACCTGATTCTGAGGGTACATTCACTCATGAACTATTGCATTAAATATTAAACTAGCTAGGGACATCTTTCAGAGCTCCCAAAGAGGCTGCTATTGTCTTGTATTTTCTTGCTTACGTAGCTCATAATCGATCTGCACTCACCAGTATGTATTGGATAACGCCCTGTCATCAGAGAGCCCCGTGTTGGTGTACAATAAGGTTGTACATAATAATTGTCCAGGATAACTCCTTCATTCGCAAGTTTGTCAACATTGGGTGTGCGTATTTTGGATCCGTGAAACCCTACGTCGCTCCATCCCAAATCATCGACTAGTACGAACAAAATATGAGGTTTTGTAGCTGCTGTCTCTGTCAAGGCGGTGAAAGAAAAGTTTACCAGAAATAAAGTGAAGATTAAAGCGAAGTTGTTGCACGTAGACATCACCAGTGCTGGTGAAAGGCCGGCAGAAAGGCGTTACGTGACCTTTTAAGCGGTGGTCGTTACAGCATGTCACGGCTGTAGACAGAATTTTGGCGGGTATATTTCTGAGGGAAGATATTCCGTTGTCACTTCGTTTCCATTGAAAGTGTGTTTAATTACAATTGGGTAATAACCGTTTAGTAATTTATAAAGGATGCTTCAGCTTTTATTGAGGAAATTGTCACTAAAAAATCGAAGTATAAATATTGCGTGACCACTCTGCGCAGAAACTTTCACGCATATCCGGTGCGAGCCCGCGATTTACTACTGAAGAAAAAAATTCAAGATGTCAGGACTTCAAAAAGAAGCTCTGAAAAATAAATATGGTGGATTACCTCCAGCACCGAGACGACCAGGGAAACCTCATGGGTAAGAATAGAAAGAGGCTAGATTAATTGTGTCTTAGAGTGTTCAATCAAATGTGTTTTTTTTTTTCGCAAACAGAGCTGCTGGAGGAATGCGACGGAAAAGAGATTACACTCCACTTTCATGGCAAGAATACTTCGACAATACGAAAGATGTTTATGTAAATGGAAAAAATGTATCCTTTCGTCAGCGATGTGCGTGTATAGGACAAAAAAAGCTTTGACGGGGAAACTGGGAAGACTGCGGCCAAGAACGCAATTCATTAGTGATCTTGGCTAACACATGTTAGCTCAGATGGCATTATGAGCTGCATGGTTCACCCTGATGGTTACACTCCAACCTCAAGTACAAACTTTCCTAGCTAGGTATCTGTAGCTAAGGTGCTGAGACCTAATGCTGACCAATGGCTGCCTTGAAGTGGGAAGTGGAAAATATTTCAAGATACATTTTGTATAGTTTCTTGTGAGGTTAATATGTTTTCTTGACTTGTCACTACCTGCATGATCAGAGATTTCGAGTTTATCAGGCTGGAAGTACTGGACCTTTGTTATTGTTACTTCATGGTGGGGGACATTCTGCTTTGACTTGGTCTGTCTTTACAGTAAGTTATAAATCACTTTATTGTATGGCTAGCTCTGTGAGCGGGCAAGATGAATTGAATCTAGCACTGTGATTGGCTGAAATAGCAACATCTTGCCCACTCAGGATTACCCTCTGTGTCGTGCAAAAAAATATATTCTTTTTCCAGATAATAAATTGTTTATTGACCAAGCTTGTCCAGTCAAAATAGGTGGATATTGGCCTCATTCTTTTTTTTGCGTGTGTTTGGACCTTGACTCCATCTTGGTCCATAAACACACAAAAAAAGAACTTGACCAATATCCAGCCATCTTGACCTCATGCCTGGTCAACAGCCCATATATATATATGCAATATTGTTAAAACTTATTTAGTTTGTGGTTAGTTTTATTCAAAGGGTGATTCTTGTTCGATACCTACATGTAATAACTTCCTATACATACATGATGTTCCAAATTGATTTATAAGATATAACCCTAAATATACTGTACAGAAACATTCTCAGTACTTGCACCACAGAAACATTCTCTTGTTTGCAAAATGATACTTGTAGCAAATTAAGCAAGCAATTTACTCTAGCTCAAATTTAATTTGAAATAGCTGAAAGAGCTGAGCTGTTGATTGACAAGGTGATAAGAATGGGCGAAGTGCACTTTTTCCCAAAGATTTAGATAGCATCTCTGATTATTTTCTTTTGACACTCCAGCATCACCCCCAGAGGCTCTCAAAAAAGTTGTACTTTATGTAAATGGGGGTAAATGTCCTACATGTATAGTTATGTCTTTTACCTACTTGTACATGTACTGTGCAAATGTTATCCAGAGGTCATTTTTATTGCAGCTAGTGATGCACCTTTTCTTTTACTTCAGAAATCAGTCACAGGCATATGCCACTGTCAAGTTCTAGCAATAGATCTTAGAGGGCATGGTGAGTGTATTAACACTTAGTTTTCAAGAATAACTTTTTGTCTTTACCAAATATAAAACCCACCTAGTCTGTCTTGTTTCCAATTATCAGAAAGAGAGATATTAATTACTACTTGAATCCATGGTTAAGACTCCACTCAGTGTCTGGTGGTAGAACTGTTCTCTGAATTTGAATGGTTGTGACGTGTAAGTGGCTAATGTTCATAGATCAAGGAACAACTAAACAGTCTGTTGGTGTGGCATCAGTGTGATTGCTTCAACTTCAGATTGTGCTGTTGGGGATAAGGGAAGGGATAAAACCAGAGTGTGTTGAGAGAGATTTTTCATCTTGATCTTGTTCTTTGTACACTACTGAGATTCCTCTTTGGAGTGTTTGGTTCTTGAAGACATTTTCCCTCCAAACTAGCAGTGTTGCTGCATTTCCTTGTCGCAAATCTTCTTGTGAATAGAGCCTGTACGCTATGAGAATCTCAGATGGAGATGCTAAATGTAAAAATGCCATGTGCAAAATTTTACATGTACATACATACATGTACATGTTCAGTCAGATGCCAAAAGCAGTATGGACCAGGGTTGGATTGCTCTGATCAATTTAATTTTATGTCATCTGTTATGTACAGTACTTTCTCCTCATAATTTTTTTTTACACTATAGGTGATACAACTACAGAGAATGACTCAGATTTATCAGTGGATACGTTATCAAAGTGAGTCTTGTGTGGCTCACAAATAAAAGGTTTATTCAGTACAAAGCATAATCAATAAAATTCCTCTTGCTAGAAGTTAATGACCTCAATGGTCTGTCGTATCTCAATCGATATCAGAACAAAGATATATTGTGTACATTGTGTACAAATAAAGTGGAGAACATATGATGTAATGTTAGTATCTTGCTTTTTATTGCTATTAGAGATGTTGGGGACATTGTAAAAGAGATGTATGGAGATTTCCCACCTTCTATAGTAATCATGGGACACAGGTAATTGATAATTTGAAGTGTACTTTTGTGCATGAAAATAAAATCATGTAAACTGTTGCTGTTTATGGAATCAATAGAAGGCTAAGAAATAGCTCATTTACTTGGCCCCCCATGGTATTTTTTTCTCATTGTGTTAATGTGCTTTTGTCAGCATGGGTGGGGCCATCGCAGTTCATGTAGCAGTGCAGAAACTGTTACCCTCTCTGGCTGGACTGGCAGTTATTGATGTAGTTGAAGGTAAGGAACATAACGTTACAAGTAAAGTTACTAATACAAACCTTCTTGATGAAATAAAACAGTAAAAACTGGAGTTCTGTAACATAAAAAGCAACATTCTTCGGTGTATTTTAACCCATGCCAGGTACAGCAATGGAAGCCTTGTCTTCTATGCAGTCATTTCTCAGGGGTAGACCATCTTCATTTCAATCACTGGAGCAGGGTATTGAATGGTGGTAAGTAGTGACATCTTGATACAGACAAATACAGTATTGCCCTTTGCTCTAGCTAGGGAACAAATAGAATATTATTTGGACTAAATAAATGAATGTCTTGTGCGATAATCCTCATAAATTGTTTCTTACAATGCTATAGCATGCAGGTTTCAAGTAATTTTATGTCTGTTACAGGCAGTCTGCATGAGTTTTGATGCCATTTGTGCTC